GTAAATCGTAATGTAATTTATTTTTAAAAAATACAGAGTGGTCTGAAAGTCTTGTCACTCCCTACCAAAAACGTAACGAGAGCAATAGAAGAATAAGTAATACGGTAATACAAAGCCCATGTACTGGATTCAGTTTATTCCCTTTCATTGACGATGTCACACATCGTGAAGGTCTGTATGAACACTATTTTTGTGTCAGCCATCTGAAATAGGAAATTATATTACGTAGCGGTGACAGGACTTTCGGATCAGCCTGTAAACCAACATCCTAAAATATTTTTATAAAAAATATTTTAATAATTTATGATTTACTTTGTTAAAAATAATTAAAAACAAAATGCTGTTTTTCTTTTTATTTTACATAATACCTTTTCAAATGCCTTATTTGAAGAAGAATATTCCCTAATTAAGATTTTAATCCTTAATAAATTACTTTTATTCGGTTATAAAAAAAAGTTACGTTTTTCTGGGGCTGAATTGTCCCGGCGCTCAGTCGACCGTGTTGAGTCGGCGGTGTTGAGTCGGCGGTATTGTGTTGTCCCATTCTGGTGAAATATTCGTTTATTTGTCACACATTACTTGTCACACATGAAATATAATAATTGCCTCTTACTGCATCGATTAGGTTAGGAATAATTTGATTTGCCATTTTGAGTTAGACTTTCATTGCTCGTAAATTCATCTGCTTTCTTGGACAACCAATTCTTGAGTCAGGAAACATTTTGGATTGCAACTTCAGGAGCAGATTTATGTTTGATTCTACATCGTTATCTCTACGCATGGTTAATCCTTGACGTTCTAGATGCTGTAAAGTTTCTAGAATGGCCATAAAACAAAGGGGGGTTATTTTCCACGCATCTTTTGTTCATTTCTTTATAGATTTTCATTTTCTTTTTTTTTTTTTTTCATTTTCAACAGCGTCACCACAATTGTGGAAGCAAAGCTCCAAATGTAAGATCAGTTCTGCGATATTGCAATGCCTGACACTTGGCAAACGTTTCTGTTACTTTCTTTCAATTTCTATAAGCTGCTTTTTTTTTAAATCACTGTTGCTTTTTGCCTCTTTCTGTCAAAAACAAAAACAAGTTCATATTCTTATGAACGTAACATGTTAAAGAATCAATTTTAATATTATAATCCCACCAAGGATATATTGGAAACCACTGGTTTGGTTTGCTTTGCTTTTTTTTACGTCATATCAAGCACAATGGGCTATTTAATACCAACACGATTTTTAATGCTGGTAATATTTTTTATCTATCTCTCTCTCTATCTATCTATCTATCTATCTATCTATCTATCTATCTATCTATCTATCTATCTCAGTATGTATTAATTTGGTTTGTCTTGTTTTACTTCATATCAACCACAATGGGTTATTTAATACCAACAAGATTTTTAATACTGGTAATATTTTTTATCTATCTATCTATCTATCTATCTATCTATCTATCTATCTATCTATCTATCTATCTATCTATCTCAATATGTATTAATTTGGTTTGTTTTGTTTTACTTCATATCGACCTCAATGTGTTATTTAATACCGACAAGATATTTATTGCTAATATTATTTTTTTTTCCAAAAATGTATTGCGAGTAAAATTTTTCTTTTAAAAAAATGTGCTACTGGCAATAATTTTTTCCAAAAAAGCATTGCTGGTATTAAAACTTATTTTTTTTTTATTTTCATAGTGTTTTGACCTCTTTTGGGTGGGTTTAACTATTTGCCCATAGCTGCAACCCTCACAGGTGCTACCACCCCGGGTATAGTGTGGACCTGAGAAAAGCAGAAATTAAGAGGTGGTTCCACGTTCCTTATAATCCCCTGATCAAAGACCTTGCCGTCGAAGGTAGTCATACACAGGGGGAGGGGACCACTGGTGTCTAAATAGTTCTTTTTCACCAATAACTTTTTAATCCTAAGTATAACGAGATAAACTACATCAAGCAAAAATGTATCTGATCGGGAGATTGGAGGTTTTGAGGTGTAGAGCTACCTCTTAATTACTGTTGTTCCACAGTCCACACAGACCAGGTGTTGTAGCACCTGTTAGGGTCCCAGCTATGGACAAATGATGACTCTCACCCCCAAACAGAAACAAAACACTATGAAATATAAAAATGCAATTTTAATTAAAAAAAATTATCAACAATATAATTTTAAAGCAAAATGCCCAGCAACACATTTTACAGCAGAATTACTAACGATACGCATTAACTAGAGCTGAGGGCATACATTTGCGTTCAAAATACATTTAGCTGACCCCATGAAATTGTATTCAAAATATAGAGATTTCGATATTAAATAACCCAGATTTTGACATGGCGTTGATAGGGTTAATTTCTCCCGGGGGCTCTCTCCATAACTGGGGCTTTCCTCCCGGATTCTTCTGGTGGGATTGGCAGAAGAATATAAGTAGGATTTTCCGGTCGGGATGGGTACTGCAGAGACCTTGTCTCCTCACTTGCGTTCCCGCCACCTTTGCGTGACATCTGTTACGTGGCGGTGGTAGGAGCGGCTATGACTAGCTTAGACAAGATCTGACCAGCTTAGACAGCTTTGGACTAGCTTTGACCTGCTTATACAAGCTAAGGCCAGCTTACACCAGCGACCCGAGTGGAAACACTCGGGTCCCCACGTTGAAAACCAGCCCTGTGTCACAACCTGACTCAGTGGAGAGTCAATTAAATGTCCAGTTTGATATGCCGCTAAAAATCAACCAAACCAAATTATATATCTATAAAACATACATTTACCCTGAAATTATAAAATTATGCACAAAACATCTGTAGTTGACGGCATAGAATTGCCTCAAAATATTTAGATTTTGGGATTAAATGTGCCATAGATGTTGATATGCTGTTAAACAAAATCAATCAAACCAACCAATAACATTCCTGGGAAGATAAATCTTCGATCGGTTTTGTGTTATGTGTACTTTTGGGGGGGGGATTTGTAACTGTTATTTCAGGAGAAGCTGGGTCTCACATAAAACATAAGGACGTTGCTTCTTGAATAAATGACCTTATTCTTTGGGGGCTATCATTTTCAAACCATTTAGACACTTTAACGATCAGGCGCTTAAAAATCTGATAGACTTCGTTGGATATTGTTTCCGTTAACATGACAGTTTTACTCATGTTTCACCATCAAAACAAAACATGTTCGATAGTCACGGTAAAAACTATTTGCCCGTGCATTGCTTCTTCGTTTATTCCCTGGAACTGTCAAGAAATTCCAAGCTAAAAAAAACAAAATGGCGCAAAATATCCAAGAATCAAAAGATATGCTATAAAATCCTGAAATATAAACGACTACTCATTTTTTTTTGTTTATTCGAATGCAGCTTTTTAAGGCAAAACTTATTTATTTGTTTTAATGCTCCCCCCCCCAAATAAAATAGTCAGTGGGGTGTAAGTCTACTGCCATCACCATTAAAATGATAACAGTATTTTTTAATATTAATCTTTAATAATATTAAATTTATTCAGGTTAATTTTTTTTTTTTAATCGTTTAGCCCCAAACAAGGCAATAAAAAAAGTAATGAATAGAGGCTAGGATTGAGTAATCGGAGAGTCGAGTTCGAATTCCAGCTAATCCTCTTCTTCTCTCCCCAGCTATGGGTAAATAGCAGGACAAACCGGGGTGACAACTGCTAGGAGCAGAATAACTCTGAATTCAGAACCTGATCCTCCAGGTTGGGGGTTGTGCAGTAGGCTAACAACCCCCATTTAAAAACTGGCTTGTTATAGAAATCGTAACGTTATGTTGCGGCCCTATGTTTCCCAAGGTATTTAAAGACAATAAAAATACTGAAAAGCAAAGAGTTACTGAGTGTGAAAGAATATGAGAAAAAAACCCATTATTATTAAAGAGAAGACAATAAATGAACAGGATTTAAGAAGACAGAAGTTGACAAATGACATTGCGTTTAAATTTTTGAAGGTCGAAGTTAACTGGAAAGGCAAGTGTGAGAGAAGTTGCCAATGAAGTCGTGCGTTTAAATTCATAAAGTCCAGGTAGCAAAGAGGAAAGCTTATAAGAACAAATCACCATGAAATATTGATTTTAAAAAGTACAGATAAACTGCAATAATTATATGGGAAAGTGACTGAAGCCGAGATGCCATGTTAGCACCGATAACACTGCAGATACACAGCAGAAGAACCCGACCCGATATGGCGACAATATTCAATGCATGGACGATTGGTAGATTTATAAAAGTGTTGTTTGCCGTAGTCTTTGAATATAGAATCCAGTGCAGTACGTAATGTGTTCAATGGAACAACGCCTATATCACTAGTAGCAGCTGTTCAGTAATTCTTCAGGCCTTCGATATCAGAGGTTGGCAGTGAAGATATTTTTGGAGAAAAAACAAAATGGCTGCCTTTATACACGTCGGATTGAATATTTTGAGCTTTCTGATTGGTTAACCCTTCTCTTGGTGGACTATAAAATGAGTCAGCTCATTTTGGTTGGCTCACTAGCACATAGATATATCCAAAAAACTGTAACAAGTGTAAGATAGATAATTGCGAGAGAAAAAATGTCTAACCCAACAAAGTGAAACAACTTCCTTAGCACTAATTCTAGCATTTAATTCAATATAATCTTTCCACTTCATGTCAGCGAAAAACGTTAGACTGTGACGGCGGCGATGAGTTTCTCTTTTGGATGATAGCATCAGCCATGTTGATATGAAGGCAAAAAATAACAGTGTTTACCAGCAAATTTTGGAGAGAGATGTGTTGCCCTGGTTGTCAACCATATTTGGAAGTCACAATGTCTTCACCAAAGATTGAGCACACGAACCTGGCGTAAAAGACATTTTAGTGGATGTTCTGAGAAGACTATTAGGCTTCCATCAAGCTCTGTCATTAATCCTATAGATTTTGCAATATGGCTCATATTAGAGAGCGATCTTTCATGTATCTTCAAGTCACGTGTGTCAGACCTGAAATCTCGTATGTCATCGCGGTGCAATTTGAGCGGAGAAGTGAAGAAGTTACGAACTTCAGCAGAGAAGAGTTAGAAAAGGATGGCCATTTTGGATTTTCAATACAGGGGGGGTGCATAAGCCGGCATACAGTAATGAAAAACAAAACGTGCGGAACAAACACACTGAATTGATTATACAAACATATAAATAATAACATATTAATAAAAAACACATCAATACAGGAGTAGAAGTTTATCCCTTGTTCCCTGTTAAGGATTGGGTTTTCAGTTCCTTCTAAAGTTTACTTCCTCACTACAGCTAGTGTCGCCATTTTATATTTTTAATTTCGCGCATGCGCGTTGTTTTTGTTCTTTGTCGACTGAATCAGTTGGACACCAGCTGTGAGAAGAAGAACACCATGACGAAATTCACTCCGCCAGAAATTCGGAAACAGCATGCTGTACAGCTTGACATTTGCACCGGAAGCACGAAGAGGAGCATTTAAGATTTTTGGGGTGTCAATCTGAGGACAGTGCAGAGGATTCGGAAAGAGTTGGGTGAGTCTAATGGTGATTACGAAGGTTTTTGGATTGACAACCAGTGATAGCGACGTTATGCCTCCATTCATCTTACCACGAGGCCTCAGACTAAACACGAAATCCTGCATCAAGTGCCTTCACAAGGTAGTGCTACTCTGGTTCAAGAGAGTGGCTGCTAGAAGACCCTATATCTGGCAACAGGACTCTGCAACATGCCACACAAGCAGGGGAACCCAGTCATGGTTGTTAGACAATTTCTGCGATCACATCACTTCTTACATCTGGCCATACCACTCCCTAGGCTGCAACCTACTTGATTATTATGTGTGAGACACAGTTGAGTGAGAGACCAACAAAACTTCTTGTAACACCAAAGATGAACTGAAGGCAAGGATTATGGCTGCCTTCACCAACTTAAAAAAGGTGACCGTCCAGAAGAGATGCAGGTGATTCCGAAGTCAACAGTAGGCCGTGGTTGAAACCAATAGCGATTTTAGTGAATAAATTTACTCTTTAGTATTTCAAGATATTTTTTGTGTAATTTTGGTTAATATATCTGTTAAAATGAGATGTCAGTGTTATTTTCATTTTTACGTAATACAGACAAGTTATCCATCGCACCACTTATAATTGTAACGTCTCTGCCTGAAATTTTATTCACTAATTAAATCTTGACCTCTTCAAGTCTTGAAGTAGTTGTCTATATTTCCTGTATAGAACAAAGAACTTCAGGTTTTGCCATTTCTTACGCTAAAACAACTACACACAGTAACCCTCTACTTTGAATGGTCCCCGAGGCTTGTTTTAGATGAACATTAGCAAAAAAAAAAAAAACCACCAAATTCACACACTCCTCTTTACCTGCAAAACATTCCATAGTATTTATTTAAAAAATATAAATTATAATAAATGTATTATGATAAAAACTATGAAAATAAAAATATTAAAAACTTGCAGCCATACCCAGTTGTCCGATCAGAAAAAGCGTTCAATTAGAATGGAGCAAAAACAGCATCATGTTTAAATGTAACAGTCTTTTTCAATTACTTTCAAGTACTTTCATTAAAAAATGAATTAATGCAGTTACTGATATAACAGAAGTAGTCTGTATTTATTCAAAGTTAGCTGAGGACACGAAGGGGTAAAATAGGCAACATGAAGACCCACTTCAGACCACAATTATTTTGGAATTTTTTAAAATTCAATTTGTCAGTGTTCTACCAGGGATGTAAAAGAGGATACATTTATAAAACAATTGTTAAGTTTGGTGAAAATTGGTTGAAAGATCAACGAAAAATTACAAAGAAACCAGTAAAAATCGCCTTTTTTCGCTATTTTCGCGGGTTTTCACTATCATCTTATTGTTGACTTCAATTGAATGAATTTTGTGTTGGATTGCTCGAAAATTGGGGGAGATTTAATTCACGATTTGCGTTGAAATCAATTTGTGATGAAATCGATTTTTCGCAATTTCGCACTAAACGCGGTGGCATAGATATGAAAATGAGGCGTCGTTGAGCTCGTCATGATGTAAGTAACCTAAATACCGAGTTTCAACGAAATCGGATGAAAAAAGTTGAATTTATAGATTTCTGATCGGCTTTATCGATTATCAAGATGATTTCAATGAATTAAATGAATTCTGTATAAAATTCTGTTGCACTTCTCGCTTATGGAACTCTCTTCCGTTTTCATACTTTAATCTGCAAAAAATTAAATGCAATTCCCGGGGTTGTGTTTCTAACGATCTAGGCTCATGTCCATTGGCTTTCAGTGTTGTTTTGATTCGGTCCTTGTATCTTCGAGGAGAGTAACCCTGTCTTCTCTTCTCTAAAGTAACATCACTGAAAAAGATATTGAAATCTTGTCTTTTCAGTTCTTGCTACATGCCCTGACCATCAAAGACAGTGCTTAATGAGCAGCGATCCAATGCTTTGAATGTTGGCTCTTTCCAGGAATTTGGCATTGGTCATTTCTTTTCAGTTTCAAGAATCAACGAAGCTTGTGCCTCGTATTCGATTGTAGATTATGCGTATATGTAGAAAATATTAGGTTGTCCCAAAAGTTCGTAAACACTAGCAAAAAAATGAAATTTTACTCGCCAAGTAATAACAAAAACAACAAAAATTATTCCTCAAAATAAGGACCATCATTTTCCAAGACTTTCCGCCATCGATCTGCAAGCTTTCGGATCTGGTGAAAGTACCATTCAGCCGACTTCGAATCAAAGAATTCTTGACACGTTTCCTCGACTTCATCAAATGAGTCGAATCGGCGGCTCTTCAGAAAGTGTTGCTTTGAGCGGGAAAGGCCGTAATCTGATGGAGCGCAGTCAGGACTGTAGGCTGGATGTGGCAGAATCTCAACGCCGTCCAGCTCTTCAAACTTGTCTTTGGTCTTCCTGGCGGTTGTGGCTTGGCATTGTCCTGCTGCATCAAAGCGCGCTTTCGGTTGATCAGAGCCGGGTACTTTTGCTTCAACTTTTCGTAGACCCGCTCCAGTTGCTGACAGTAAAGCTCGGCACTGATGGCACGACCATTCGGAACCAACTCAAAATGCACGATTCCTTCAAAGTTCCACCAAACGCACAAGATGACTTTCTTGCCGAATCGATCGTGTTTTTGGAACCGACGGTGTCTCTTGCCCTTTCTGAACACATCGCTTGTCTCGATTGGGCTGGACCAGATAGACCCATTTCTCGTCCGATGTCACAATGCGCTTCCAAAAACGCTCGTCCAATGGATTGCTGAGCAATTGACGGCAAATTTCAACTCGTCTGTTGGCTTGTGCTTCGGTGAGTTCGTGAGGATCTTGGCGTGGCTTTTTGTGAACAAGATCAAGTTGCTCCATGTGTCAGTGAATTGTCGATTTTCCAACTCCAAGCTCATCAGCCAATTCTCGATAAAGTAAAAATACAATTAAAAATTGCAAAAAAATTCAGTTTTTCGCAAGTGTTTACGAACTTTTGGGACAACCTAATATATCGATTGACTTTGAACTTGAATAAGTTAAGATTGTAATAATCAAGGAAGTATCCCACTGGGAGTATGTTCCACAAAGCAGCGTCTCTTGGTAAGAAGAAAGTCTGGACAGTTTCTTATCAAGATTCGCTGTTTATCTTCTCTCCTAACGTCTATAATCTCACATTTAAATTTTTGTACTTGTTTGATTTTGTTGCCGCCATTTTGAAGTTCGCATCATGGGCGCTTCCTTTCTTACAATCGATGTTTAGACCTTTCTTGTCGCTTTCCTTTTCACGTCTTGTAGGAGCCTTTGTATTTTCCTTTCCGTGTTTTCTATCAACACTGCGCCATCTGCATATCAAATATTGTTTAGAGTGTGGCCGCCAATTATAAACCCTTGTAGGACTTCTAATTCTCTCAGGATCGCATCACCGTAAAAGTTGAAGAAGTCCGGTGAGAAGATGCATCCTTGTCATACGCTCCTTTTCTGTTTTTGTTTTTACTGAATTCATTTCCTATCGAGAGACTTACAGAACGTTAAACCACCGGTTCTCGTACGATGACTGAAGTTAAGCAACGTCGAGCCTGGTCAGTACCTAGATGGGTGACCGTTTGGGAATACCAGGAGCTGTTATCTTAGATGTGTAGGTGGTAAGTCTTACGAGCCCATCACATTGAAACACCGTTTCTCGTACGATCACCTAAGTTAAGCAACGTCTACACAGGTCAGTAACTACATGGGTGACCGTTTGGGAATACCAGGAGCTGTTAGCTTGGATGTGTAGGTGGTAAGGCTGACGGACCCATCACATTAAAACACTGGTTATCGTACAATAATAGAAGTTAAGCAACGTTGAACCTTGTCAGTAACTAGACGGGTGACCGTTTGGGAATACAAGGTACTGTAAGTTTGGTATTGCAGGTGGTAAGGATTACGGATCCATCACGTTTAAACACCGATTCTCGTACGATCATTGAAGTTAAGCAACGTCGAGCCTGGTCAGTATCTAGCTGGGTGACAGGTTGGGAATACCTCATACTGTAAGCTTGAATGTGTAGGTGGTAAGGCTTACAGACCCATCACATTGAAACACTGGTTCTCGTACGGTCACCGAAGTTAAGCATCATCGATCCTGGTCAGTACCTAGATGGGTGACCGTTTGGAAATGCCAGGTGCTGTAAGCTTGGATGTGTGTGTGGCAAGGCTTACGGATACACCGATTCTCGTGCGATCACCGAAGTTAAGCAACGTCGAGCCTGGTCAGTATTCCATTTGGGAATTTGTGAGCTTGTGAAGGTGGTAAGGCTTACGGAACTATCACGTTGAAACACCAATTGTCGTACGATCACTGAAGTTAAGCAACGTCTAACCTGATCAGTACCTATATCGATGACTATTTCAGAATACTAGGTGCAGTAAGCTTGGATGTGCGGGTGGTGAAATGAATAATGGCTCGGAATTGGAAATCGGGGTTCTATTAGGTTGGTGCAAAAATAATGACGTAATAATGTCGTTTTTTGACGTATTTTTTAACGTCAAAAAACGACATTATTACGTCATTATTTTTGCACCCACCTAATAATTCCCGCTGGATTCGTTATATTTACTGATGCGCAAATAATCTTGGGAGAAGGCGAGCTATATTCCTCAGTTTCATCTTTCCAGACCTTCAGTTACACCCACCATGCCACATACAAAGAATCGACTCATCCTCATTTCTCATGTATTCCATTGGTAAACAACGTCAAGCCTAGCCAGTACCTACATCGGTGACCACTTTGGAATACCAGGTGCTGGATGTGCGAGTGGTGTAATGGATAATAGCTCGAAATTGTTGATCATAGAGAGCCGAGTTCCAGTTTCATTTGGGGTTGTTATATTCTCTTACGTGCAAACCCCTGAGAAAAGGTGAGACTCCACCTCTTCTCCCACAGCTATGGGTTAAATAGTAAAACGTGTATCACTAAAACCACTATTATCTTAAAAAAATTTCCGAACAAAACATTTAAATTTCGTCATTAAATAACCCATAGAAGTGTTGATATGTCGCCAAACAAAACCAACCAATCAACAAACCGTTTTCTATCCGTATGCAGGCGATTTACTCTGGATATTCTAATATATTTTACAAATAAATCAAGCTTCTCTAGTAGTTCAAACTGTAAAAGTTTTAATTACGCATCTTCCAAAATAAATAAAATTAAATAGATATTGTTGTGGAGTAGCTGAACACCCCCACTTGACGGGCAAATCTAAGACTATTTAAACAGCACTCTCTCTCACTGAGTGGGAGGATTTAACGAGTAACTGTTTATTAGTCTGTGTTCTCGATCGTGTACCATACTATACTCCGCATTAAACTAGTTATTTTCTATATGTATGTCAACCTTTTAATATATACGACACAATAGTTATATAAATAGATATATAAATAGATATAAAAATAGATATATAAATAAAATTGATATATAAATAAAATAAAATTAATGATAATAAAATAAATAAGAGATTTTGGGTTTTATACCAATAATAATCTTGTCTTGTCATAGATTGAAGCTAAGATGATCAGTCAGTTATGTGCCATGTGGGATAAACGCTTAGGCGATCATGTATCTTTCGATACATGACTGACGAGGTAGATTTTTTTTCCCCGCAGTAGGTTGCTATTTCTTTTTGCAGTAGAGGAGTTGTCATCCAAGAACTGGTCTCTTCTGCTTGGGTGGGATTTTAACGAAGAGGATTCATAGCTTTCACAAGGTTATTAGCACGTAAGTGAATGTAATGGATTCGACTGGAATTCGAACTCGGCTCTCCGATTCCTCAATCCGAGCCGCTATCCATTACTCCACTGTCACTGTTAGAATCTCATTTTATTGTCATATATGAATGCATCAATTAAATCGTGGCAACCCCTCCACCATAAGGAGATAACAACAAAGGAATCATGTACATAATGAAAAAGAAATGAACAATATTTCCATATCCCTCGAGCCAAATAAATGCTTATAGACTCTTGTTATGAAGGACCAAGGTCAACTCTTCCGTTATCCAAGAAAATCATTATACGCTAAAATGAAAGAAGACTAATCCTTGAATCAAGTAAATACAAACAAACCTATATATATAATCGACCAATATTTACCTGTTCTCGAACCAAGAAAGTGCTTACAGACGAATATTTATCTATCGACGAACCAATTCCATTAAATAACTCAAATATAAATCAATATTTACCTATTCACAAAACAAAATAAATGCATAAAAACACTAATCTAAATTGCCAATATTAACCTATTTCTGTTACAGTTTTTTTTTGTATATATATATATATATATATATATATATATATATATATATAACTAGTGAGTTAGTCAAAATGACTTAATTCCCTTTATAGTCTACCAATAGAAGATTAACCAATCAGAAGCCGCAGAACATTGTATCCGTCGTGTATAAAGGCGGCCATCTTTGTTTATCCTACCGGAATGACCAGAGCCAACATGTCAGGCGAACGTGACAGACGGAAGAACTACGCTCTGCTACTTTGCTGTGATATCCACTGCGAACCTGCACTACGCTTTCCTACTGTCTCCGAAATATTCATTGCCAACCTCTGGATTCTATACTCGAAGACGACCGTCATGAATTTGTAACATATTAACCTGTTTCCACAGTGGACTAATGTATAACGGCTCGCATTGAGGAATCGGAGAGCCGAGTTCGAATTCCAGTCGAATCCATTACATTCACTTATGTGAAACCCTTGGGAAAAGTATGAATCTTTTTCTTCTCTCCCCAGCAGGACACACCGAGTTCTATAGCCTTGGATGGCAACTGGTCTACTGTGGGGAAAAATCTGCCTCGTCAGTCATGTATCGAAAGATACATTATCGCATAAGCGTGTATCACGCATGGCACATAACTGACTGACCTGTTCCCAAAGTAAATGCTTACAGACTCAGGTATAAACAAGCATAATTTAACGATTCACGAACCAAATAAATGCTTATAGGCTCAAATATCTGCTTCTTCCCAAAGAAAGAAAATATCTATTAACTCAAATCTAAACGACACATATTTAATTATTCCTAGACGAAAGTAAATGCTTACAGACTCAAATACAAAGGACTACTATTTACCTATTCCCAGAACAAAGTAAATGCTTAGGGGTTCAAATAGAAACGACCACTATTTACCTATTACAGACCTAAGTAAATGATTACAAACTCAAATCTAAAAGACCAATATTACCTATTCCCCGAATGAAGTTAATGCTTCTAGATTCAAATATAGGAATAATTTTAATAAATGCTTTCGACATTAAGTAGTGCAATTAGCGTTGAAATATCAAGAAATAAACCTGCTTCAAATATTAAGTTGACAGAAAGAAGGCAAAACCCAATGAAACAAAACTAAATATGTTGTTCAAAACTTCTAAATTAGTCTTCTTTATTTTTACTTAATAAGCCCGGAGACCATTTTCGTTAACGCTATCCGATCGAAATCTATAACTTATGCAGTCTGCGTGTGAGTTCGCCCGACTAAAATTAGAATAAATCGCTTTGAGAACGAAGTCGATGCTCCTGTGTTCTTATGAGTCAAATAGCTGTGACATCACACGATGTTAATTTAATAACAACTGAATCTTTTCAGTAAACTATGCAAGCGATCATCGCCTTCTCTCAATCACGCTTTCAATTTTTATGTTATAATAGAAAAGAGCAGATCACGAAAGAAAATAGCATGGTATAAATGCAGATCAGAGAGCATAAACGAGTTACCGTTGTCGCTGATAGGCAAGACTGACGAGCAGTAGTTAAATCGAAATAGGCTTCGCATTTGGGGTGGCTGGGGCATGTGGTACTAATGGCTTCCTTCGGTTTAGTTTTTCAGAGGAGCAGGCGGATGAGCGGGTGGGTAATAGAGCAGTGGGTGTTCGGAGTCTAGGGGGAGATTGGCGTAACGTCTGTTCTTGCTTGGGTGGATTGGTGACGGTACTGATGACATTCAGCTGTAGGCGTTAAAAGCGGGTCGGTCGCCAAGTGTCCGTTTTCCCGCCATATTTGAGCGGGCCAAATGTCATGTCATCAAATATGGATGGCCAACTAAAATGTCGCGACGCCTTGAGGTGGTCAGCCTTGTTAACAGAGTTATAGCTAAAACAAGACATTCACTTACTGTCAGATTATTACGTAATCGCCCTTTCTTTCTTTCTTTCTTTCTTTCTTTCTTTCTTTCTTTCTTTGTCATTAGCTTTTTCCCGCCATCTTTCTCGCTTTCTTTCTACCTCTTCCCCTCTTTTTACTATATTCTCGTTCTTTTCTTCCATCTCTCTTTTTACTTTCTAAGTTTTTCTTCTCTCCTCTATTTCACTCAATCCGCACCTTTTCCCATCTCTTTCTATTTCACCAGTCTCTCTCTCTCTCTCTCTTTCTCATTCTGTTTCTCCTTCTTCGCTTTTTAGCCCTTTATATCTCTTTCTCATTGTTTCCTTCTCCTTTCAACGAATTACATCTCTCTCTATTTCAACAGTCTCCTCTTTCTTATCCTGTCTTTCTTCTTCCCTTTTTAACCCTTTATATCTCTCTCTATTTCAACACTCTCCTTTTCTTTCTCATTCTGTTTTTTCTTCTTCGCTTTTTAACCCTTTATGTCAGCCTTTTCTATCTCTTTCTTCCGTCTTTCTCTCTCCATTTCTCGCTGTAGTTTCTCTTTCTCCTGTTTCGCCCCCCTCTCTCTCTATTTCTCGCAAGTCTCCATCTCTTTTTTACACTTTTCTTTCTTCTCTCTTTTTACTATATACTCTTCTTTTCCTTCATCACCCTGTCTCTTTAATCTTTTTTCTATCCTTTTGTCACTGCGTTTTCTCCTCTCTCCTCTTTCTCAACAGATCAACGGCTTTTTCCCATCTTTCTGTATTTACCCTGTCTCTCTCTTTTTATTTTTCTTATTCTTCTTTTTCCAGTCTATCTCTCACCCTTTCTCTCTATTTCTTTCTGTCTCTCTTTCTCTTTCTTCCTTCCTTCCTTCCTCCCTCTCTCTCTCTCTCATACTATACTTAGCCATCTCTCTCTTTCTCTTTTACATCAGGCCTTTTCTATCTTTCTTCCCACGCATTGTTTCGTTGACATTACTTTTTCTTCCATATCTTTTTTTCAAACAGATTATAGCCACTCAGTAATAACCTTAGTGTTATATATATATATATATATATATATATATATATATATATATACCCAAATGAAGAGAAAGAACAGATTTAGAATCCATCGTTAGCATTTACTTTTTTTAAAAGTAACAACGTAGAGCATATATATATATATATCGATTCTCCCGTCGGGTTCGACGTATGAGGATCAAGCAGATCAGTTTCCAGGAAACCGACAGCCCGACACCGGCACATGTGATTTGATTATAGTGGTGAAGGCTTCGTGCAGGACCATCCACACTTTTTGAAGGGACGAATACAGAGACCTGGTGCACCGAATGCCACAAGGTTCCCAAACAACCCCCCTCAGGTTTTGAATTCAGAGTTGTCCTCCTAGACCAGTTGCCATCCGAATCTATAGAACCCAGTCTGCCCTTCTATTTAACCCATAGCTGGAGGGAGAAGAAGAGGATTCACACCTTTCCCAAGGGTATTAGCACGTAAGTGAATGTAATGGGTTCAACCTGGATTCGAACTCGGCTCTGCGATCCCACAATCCAAGCCGATATCCATTACCCCACCGTGCCTCTTTTATGGATTGCATATAGCATGAAACAGACTGTCGCCTCTAAGTGTTGACTTCTATGTTCACTTTTATATTTACACACGCTCTATCTCTGATATTGAGCACTTTAACCTATAAATGTAGCACACCTTATGACTATATTTCTTCATATATATATATATACTAGCAGCATGGCCCGGCGTTGCCCGTGCTTGATTCAAAAATAGTACGACTCATACAGCAATCGCTAGCTCTTGACTTCCTTGCCTTTAGAGGAGTGTCCTTTGCGTGCTGATGTTGTTACATGCCTTACTTCTTGCCTATATCACACTGCCAACTTTTTCTAAGCTCTATAGTAAACATTAAATCTGTTACGAAAAAAGAACTAAACAAAATAAACACTATACGATCAGCTTTAAAAAACCGGAAAAAACATTTTTAAGGGTTGACCGATTGTCGATTTGCACTCTGTTTGGAGGGGGGGTGCTCAGAGTTGAAACTTCACATGATGACTCCCAATGGCCTCTTCATAAATCCGCTTGGTTTTCGCTAAAAACCGACATGCGGTTCAGACGCAATCTGGGTGTATCGGTTTTTGGGTTTTATCGATTTATAAATAAACCTAAAGAGCCAGACTAACCTACCTAGGTTTCAGCTACGCGGATCTTCAGGGCGGACTGGCGATCCGCTTAGGTGAGACCAAGGTAGGTTTGTTTGGCTTTTCAGGTTTACTTAGTCTGCTCTACTTAGCGCATTGAGCACTTTGCTTAGTTATTTTACTGTACTCGTATGGGAGGTTTTTTTTCTTTGGACTCTGAACGTAAATTCTAGACGATTATTTTCGCCGGAAGTACATCTTCTTAGTTCTTTCTTTTTTTTACCCTTTTTTCCCTTGGGTGTTAGTTTGCTCATTCACAAGCTAAAACACCTAAATATAGCTGGTTATATTTATAAGTTTATTAGTGTTATATATATATATATATATATATATATATATATATATATATATATATATATGAAAGATAAAGAACAGATTTAAATCCACCGTTTTTTTTGCATTTACTTTTTTAAAAAGTAACAAAGTAGAATATAATATTTTTAATGATATTTTTATTTAATAGTATTTTACATTGCAACATGGAAATTTCTGTTTCGGAATTAAAATTTCGGAATTTAAAATATTTTGAAGTCGATGTAACAGCGATGTCACAAACATAAGATGTTAAATTAAAAAGGCTGAGGTTGTTTAATGATTTTTATTTTTTTTCCGATGTAGAGGGGAGTTACAGTGGATTAAATGGTACCCCAAAACAAGTTCCATATGATGTTAAGTGACACACCAGGCATTAAATGCCTAGAGCCGTGATCTAAGAAGAAGCCAAATGCTTTCAGAAAAATGATATTCCTCAAAACTGGGCGAATAACATTAATGAATAAATCTGTTTTTTTTTTGTTTTTTTGTTTTTTTTAAATATGTTTGTTTGATGAAGCAACCGGATTGTCCGCACGACTGTAAACTCGTGGAGCGTTTTAATGAGGACGGTTCACATTGATGGTCCGCTATTTGCCACTAAGAATAATCTGGAGATGCTATTTAATCCGCTTCCTAAAAAATTTCATAATATGTCCCCCGTTAATAAAGAATGGCCAGAAAGTCTTCACTAGAAGCGACAGTAGAAAATAAAAAAAAATACTTGGCAAATGTAGTCAAGCGTGACAATAGCAGCAAACTTAACCAACGTGCAGATAAGGGCTGTTGCTGCTGCTTGTCATTTTTGGCTGCACTCATCAAGTCTTTCGTATTTTCTATTGTTGCTTCTGTTGGAGACTTGTTTTTTTGTTTTTGTTTTTTTTTTACCTTTCCATATTAACGGCTTCCATTTTCTTTCTCTCTCGTTTTCTTGTTTTTTTTCCCTCTCCTCTATTTCATCCCATTCACGTCTTTTTCCATATCTCTCTATTTCACCAATTTATTTTTGTTTCTACCTCTCTTTTTCATTCTTCCCTATTCTATAACCTTTTATTTCCGTCTTTTTCCAGTTTTTCTCTCTCCATTTCTCGTTTTCCTTCCGCTCTCTATTTCATCCTATCTCTCTCTTTTCCGCCAGTCTCCCTCTATTTCTCACTTTTTTCTTTCTTTCTCTCTTTTTACAATGTCCTCATTTTTTCCATCTCTCTCCATTTCTTCAGTCTCTCTCTCTCTCTCTCTCTCTTCCTCCCTTCTTTTTCTCACTGTGCTTTTCCCTATTTTATCTTGTCCACGTCTTTTCCAATCTCTCTATAGTTACCCTGTCTGTTTTTCTCTTTCTCTCCCCACGGTACTGTCCTCTGGGACAGTAGCCTAGTGGATTAAAATTTTGGTTTGTGGATTCGGTGACATAGTAATTGAGAGTTCAATCCCTGGGCCTGGTAGTGTGTTCTTGGGCTTAGTGGAAACAAGCCGAGCCATAACTGAGCACTAATAAATAAAATTAGACGTGATATGGGATACACCCGTGAATCTATATTTACCATTCGTCTATGCCTTGAATATTGCTGCCATATCCAGTCTGGTACTTCTGCTATATATTTAGAGATTTTGGCGATGTCCAAAGAAGAATCTGCAATGATATCAATCCCGACAAGACATCTCGATATGAGTCACTTTTCCACCAGTGTAAAGTACCTTCCCTGTATGTTTTTCTATAATTTTGTTACGGTAAATTTTCTGATGAACTTTTCATCTTTGATACCTAGACTTCACTAACTGAGGCGCAGTACTAGATTGGCAGATAGGTCTCATAATTTCATTGCTGAAATTGCTAGTTCTAACTTTATTTTCTACGCTAAAAGTGTTTTTCTCACACTTCCGGTTTCCTGCTTTCTTTTCCATTGTGATTTTCAAAACTTCTTATGTAAGATTAATCATCATCTCCTATCTCATTGAAACCTGATATTTTGAGTGTGCTTTCTACAAAATAATGCTTTTTTTCCTCTGTTTTTTCCACACTAAGTAACAGCCTGTGTATTTCCTTTTCAACTTTTAAAATAACTCCTTTGATTGAAGGTCCACAAAAAAAAAAAAAATGAAAAGAAGTTCAGAATCTAATAAATTTGGTAAGCACTTTCACGAATAGTAGAGAGAAAAATACAGTGTTATTTAGCAAAATTAAACAACAAATCTTTGCTCTATATTTCAGGGCGTCCTAGGTATGATGATAAACTATACCTGCCTCCTGGGTAAGACGACAAACTGCATCCGCGTCCTGGGTAATACGATAAACTACAGCCAATAGGAAGGCCTCTGATTAGGAGGTTTTAAGGAGCGTAAAACCACTTTTTAATTGCTAGTGTTTCCAGGTGCACATTGACCCAGAGTGGTAGCACCTGTTAGGGTCCCAGTTATGGGCAAATAGATGACCTCCCCCGGAACTGAAAGTGTGAAAAGAGATTTTAATACCAGCAATACTTTTTTGTAAAAAATTATTACTAGTAATGAATTTTTGAAGGAAAAATCATTACCAGCAATACATTATTACTAGCAATACATTTTTGAAGGAAAAAATGTTACCAGCAGTACATGTTAGTAGAAAAAAATATTACCAGCAATAAATTTTTGAAGGAAAAAAAAATATTAATAGCAATACATTTTTGAAGGAAAAAATATTACCAGCATTACATTTTTGAAGGAAAAAATATTACCAGCAGTACATGTTAGTAGAAAAAATATTACCAGCAATAAATTTTTGAAGAAAAAATATTACCAGCAATACATTTTTGAAGGAAAATTATTACCAGCATTACATTTTAGTAGAAAAAAAAATATTACCAGCAATACATTTTTGAAGGAAAAAAATGTAACCAGCAATACATTTTTGGAAAAAAAATATTTTACCATCAATATATTTTTGGAAAAAATATTACCAGCAATAAAATTTTTATCGGTATTAAATAACCCATTGAGGTTGATATGCCGTAAAACAAAACAAACTAAATCAGGATGTCAGGTGTTGCGCCCTTATAAAATATTAAACGCCATTTTGAAAGCAATCACCAGAATTTGTGCTCAGTGACAGATGAAGACAGGAATAAAATTATTTGGAGAGAAGTAAAGCAACAGAAACAACAATGTCATAATTCCAAATGTTTGCTTAAATCCCAAAACAAGAACAATATTTCTGCTGTCACTTTTTTTTATTATCCTCTGCTATCACTAAGCAAGGGAAGCCACGGGTTGATGGTAGTTATTTAAAAGAGGCCTTTTTGAACAGCTCTAATTTGAAGTTGAGATGCCCAAAAGAATTAACGAGTTGTCGGCTGGTCTAAGAGAGAATAATTGCCATGGACAAAGATTTAACTGAACAATATATTTTTTTAAGCATTTCACCCCAAACAAGGCTGGAGTGCCACTAACACGCAGGGGGTTCCAGAGAGTGAGAGCAAGAGTAAAGAGGTGTGTTTGAGGAAAGAATAAAGAGAAGGACAGGGGATCCAGATCAAGTCAACAGAAGATGTCGATTGACATTATATTTGAATATTTGAAGATTATAGATATCAGGGAAGCAAGTAAGAGGAAGGAAGTTCCACACTCAGGAAGTGCGGGATAAGAAGCTGTTGAAGTAGATGGCTACATTTAATCATTTCAACAGGGAAAGTGTGGGGTCGAGATACCAACTTTGTAGCACGCATGAAGTTTAGGAATCAGTGAAAGTAGCTCGTCAGAGCCGTTGCCATGAAAATATTTGTAGAAAAGACAGAGGGAAGCCACGTCACGTCTGTGAGAAAGTGAATTCAGAGGAGATGCCAGATTAGGACCCAACACATTGCATATCCGTCTCTGGATTTTGTCAAGGAACTCGAGATGATCAGCGCGGGGAACTAGACCATATATGGCAGCAGTATTCCAGGCAAGGACGAATGGTTGATTTATAGATTTAAAGGATAGACTCAGACGAGAAAAATTTTCTGGTGCAACACAGTTAACTGTTATATAGGAATAAAGTGTCAGTGCCGACACTTGAGTTTGAACATAGATCACTACTAAACAAACACAGGCGATCCCATTACTGAATTAAATAGACCACGTGACCATATAGGTAACGCATATATAGGAGGTAACGTGTGTCTAATTGATCGTTATTTCTAGTCTATCCTCTATTACTATATGGTCCGCTATTTTCTACTCTATTCACTATACTATTTCTCTATTCATATCACTATACGGATTACTATTCGAGCGAATATAATCAAGCAAGTACTATTAGTACGAGTGATATTCGAAGGCGCCTGACACCAGTATTGTTCAACGGCGTTACTATAGTTATATCTACGATTGCAAAGTCTCTACTACAGCGAGCATTCCAAAAGTGGCAACGCATGACCCTTGACATCATAAAACTATAATAATCCATATTCGTATTTCGCCTTGTCAATAATAATCCATATTTTTATTTACCCTGTCTATAATAATCTATATTTGTATTTCTCCCTTTCTATAATAATCCATATTCGTATTTCTCTGTGTCTATTATAATCTATATTCGTATTTCTACCTGTCTATAATAATCCATGGTCGTATTTACACCTGTCTATAATAATGCGTATTTCGATTATTTTCGTTTTAAAACAGTTTTAATCCTTCATTTATTTTCTCTACTCATCTTTTGCCAGTTTTTCTATTTTGCTGACGGATATTTAGTTATTTAATTTCAGTTTTCTTAGAGTTTTTGATATTCTTATAGTTGTTTTAATTAGTGCTTTATCTCGACGCCATGAAGGTTTTGATGTAATCATTTTCAGTGACATCTTTACGCGGTCCCATCTTACGGATAAACACTTTCCCGTAAGAATTAAGAAGTAATTTGATTTAATATTCCGTAAAAAAAAAAAATAAAAATAAAAAAAATAATGAAAGTGAAATCACAAAAAGGACCAAATTTGTACTAAATTTTTAAAAAAAGAAAAAAGAAAGGTATATTGTTTTCAATTTGTTTGGATCAAAGTGAAGACATGACATCCATTGCTCATTTAGCAGCTGTTGCAGGATTTACTTCCGGGAATATAAGAAATGAAGAAGTGATCAGATTGATGACACATTTGGAGAAAACTAGAGGGCAAGAAATTATGGATGAAGTGAAAAAGGTATTTATTAAACTTTGCATGAAGTTCGGAAATATTGTAACAAAAGTTGGGAGATCCACGCATGATTGAAAAAAAAAAGTTGGAATTTACAATTTACTGACACAAGAAGTAAACCACAATTTATTTGAATTTCATTGAATTTTGAATCAAGAATCTGATGCAAAAACTGGTTTAAAATTACTAGAAAATGACATGTCCCTGGTAACAATAATTGTGAATTTTATTACTGTTCCTGCACTTAGCATATATAAGTTATTAGTATATATTAGTTATTAGTATATATAAGTTATTAATATGTATTCGTTATATACTTTAGTCAATTCACCAAGCTACTGAATGAAGTTAAAAATCAATCTTCTGGTTTGGTTTCGTTAATTTTGTTTTACAGCACATCAACACCTCAATGGGTTATTTAAGGCCGACAACATTTTAAAGATAGGTTCGTATGAACAGAATATGTATTCTTTGTAAGAAATCAGTTTGTAGAAGATCAGGTCTCATTGACGTATTTTTTGTAAAGAAATTTTTTTGTCGAGTCAATTTATTAAATGTATTGTTAGTAATATTTATTTCTTTTTCGAAGATATATTGCTGGTAATTTTTTTTTCAGAATTGTATTGCTTGTAATTTTCACTATAAAAATTCATTTTTATACTTTCATAGTGGTTTGAACCCAGTTTTGGGGTTAACTATTTGCCCATAGCTTGGACCCTAACAGGTGCTACCACCCCGGTTCAGGGAGGACCTGGGAACAACAGCAATCCTCTAAATTTCCCGCCTTGCTGCCGGATATAGTTTATCGTCATACCCAGGACTATCTTCTCGTTTACACACGTACAACGATGTCAGATGGTTACGCTTTGGCCAAGTGTTAAATTGATTAGCGGAGTTACTAGCGAATATAAGATTTTTCCTAAACGAAAAATGAAATGACTATCCAGAACGAAGAAATATTAAATAGTTGGATGTCTTAAATTTTTGGCAGATTCCACATTTAATTACAACAACTTAAATAAAAAATTGTAATTAAAGTGTTGATGTTTGAGCATAGCAAAACATCTGTGGGTATTCTTGGCATTTATTTATCCGAACTTCGGAAATAAAACGAGACGACACAAGGGCATAAAATAATATATTTTTATTTACTTGCATTAGAGTGAGTCCTTTGATATTCGGTGTCCCAAAAATGTTGATTTATAAGGCGGATATTGGTAGTAGCC